AAGACAACTGTACGCATGTACTCAATTACTTAATGTAGGAATGACTCCTGTTATTATGTACTGGACTAGATTCCAGTATAAGTCACTTCTGCTACTAAAGTGTCTCAATGCTCTGGACTCAAAGTGAGCGTGACATTTATCTGATTATCTGAAAAGACCAACACCAGGTCATAACACAGATGATGTGGAGAGATTGAACCCTGAGGCTGTATTTAAGGATCACCAGAAAAACACAGTCTGTGGTCTGATGGTTTCTGAGGGGTTTTTTTTGTGGGTGGGGTGGCCAAAGATGAAAAATATTTACCAGACTGTTATCAATTAAAATTCAGATCTGGTTCTTTCTGGATCTTCACCAGGACCACAGGCCGTTCAGCAGTTCAGGGTTTATATCCAGTAAGAAAAAAGTGACAAAACCAAACTTGTTCTTTTGGAGTAATTTAGTTGATCAGTTAAAACCAACTTGTCATAAATAACCGTATTGAACGATGAGTAAACACAGGAAGTGTGACTAAATTTGTCCCAGGTTAGATTGTCTTCACACATTGGCCTCCGCCTGCAGAGCAGCCCAATATATTTGTGCTATTTACCTTGAAGGGAAATGTAAGCCAGGACCACAGAGATAATGGTAAAGGAGGTGTGAAAATGTTGGTGCATTTAAAAGCAGCATGGGAAATGAAACCCTCGCCTTCTACTTCCTTCACTACTTCTCACAGAGATGAGACACTGATGAGGTGGAGCACAGGTTGAAGTTTGACAGAAAATGATCAATTATTACATACACGTCAATTAAAACTTCACTGACCATTATTATAAATGCTGTAATTCCTTAAAAAAACACTACAAGATCTCTGCCCCTCACTTTGAGAACCACTGCATACACACATGTAAACTTCCACCCATATATCGATGGATAGATACATACATTGTATAATACATGTATACACACGTATACATATATTTGTGTGTATGTAAATACACGGATACTTCAGTACAATCAATACCACTAAAATACAGTTTTCTCTTGGTGTTTATTGGCCGAACGTCCAAAACCACCTCAACACTTCTTCCTTTCTCTCGGGTTTTTTCTTCTGCCTATATTTGTCCATGTATGTTTCCTGTACACAGCCCGAAAGGTCAAAAAGTGGGCCACACGGACATGTTAGCTGAAAACACCACTATGACCACATCGTAGCGTACTTATTCAATAAAGCGTTGACCAAATGTTCAAATCTAGATGACTGAATGAATCATCTGAACGACTCCCCGCTCACATTTAACTGATCTTCGTTTGTGCCGATCGTTCTACGTCATGGAAACAAACGGGTGAATTCCTCCGTTAAGGCCAAAGTGGGAGACTGTAATTTTTAATTCCCGGTGCCCACACCCATCTACCCACACATCTCCTCTTACAAGTCAAAAGGTTGAGGTTTGCACAGAATGTTGTCTCTCACGTGGTTGACTCGTAATGTCCAACGAGTTTAACTCTGACACAACTCAGTGCCAGATGTTTAGAAATGAGAAGCAGAGAGCATTCGAATCTGGTGCAGGTCGCTCGGCTGCGCATGATCTGATGGCCGTGACATTGGGATCTGCTGGCTCTTTCTTATGCCTGATTTTAACACTGGTTTGTGTCACTTCAGATCCCCAAAGAGTTTGTCTGGGGACTCAGAGGGAGAAGAGAGAGAGAGAGAGAGAGAGGGAGGGAGAGGGAGAGGTCATAGAAACAGAGAGAGATAGAGCGTGGTCCTCAGGTTTCACAGCTGTAGGCCCAGATCAACCCAAAAGTAAATGGACTTGAGGAAAGCCAATCCTAATTGAATCCAAGCCTCAAAGCTCTTTAGTAAACATTGCGCAGCAATGAAAATGACTTGTTATCCTAATTCACTGTACGCTCACACTGCAGCGGAGAGGAAGATAAATAAAACCAAGGAAACAGATGTGAGATCAAACTGATTTGGTTTGGTGAATTTTGTCTCATTAGAAGATTTATTCGCCGCTCGGCTCCATCAACTGAGTCAAGAGTGAACGCTTTGTCTGAAGAAAAAAAAAGAAAGACATAAAATCACGGTCCAAAGACCTGTATGAGAGTTCACTTCTAAATAAATGTGTTCTGAAAGAGTCCTGACACATTGAAGCCCATGGTTGTTAAACATACGGCCCGCGGGCCAAAACCGGCCCACTTAGTGTTTCATTCTGGTCCACTTGATGACTTTTGAATTTTGATTTATCTAATGTACTTTTTTGTGTGAAAACAAAGGGGGAAAAGACCTTTTGTTATATATGATAATTATGTCATGATTGCACTCGACACCTAATTATGTTGCATGCAACCCCTGAACCAAAGTGAGTCTGACACCCCGGCCATACTTGAATGAGTTTCAAAAGAGCCATCGTCACAGCTGAATGACTGATGATAACAGAGCTGTTCTACTGTTAGCTTATGAAGTGTCCAGCGTCTTACATATTAAGGAAGTTCCTGTGGAGAACCCGTGTACACGGAGCCTTTGGTCTGCTCTGATGGCTTCCTGTAGAAGCAGCGCGTCTTAGTGGAGGAGTTTCCTCCGTGCCTTTTCCTGCTGCTGCGACTATTTCCCCACGTCGTCTCCGCGGGCTAATCTGCTCATTCCGTTTAAATGTTCAGCTGTTGCCATTGAACTGCCGCTGCAGTTTATTTTATTCATTCATCTTCTAACACTCACTCTGGGGGCGGGGGCGCTGGAGCCCGGTCCAGCAGTCATTAGCTGAGGGTGGGGTACGCCTTGGACAGTTCCCAAGTCCACGAAGGGCCACATATCGAGACAAATAACCATTCACACTTAACATTCATACCTATGGTCAATTTAAGAGTGTCCAATTAGCGTAATACTGCGTGTTTCTGGACCTGTGGAACGAAGCCAGAGTACCTGGAAAAGCCCCCGCAGTTTTGGCACAGTCAACTGCAGCTCAAGGACCGTCTTAAATAATGCACAACTAATAAATTCAGCAGGGACTTGTGCCCCATTCTGTGGCTGAAAACCACCAGCACACAGCAAACAGCTCTGTTTTCCAAGTGGTTTTTAATGTTGGTGAGCAGTAAAAGCGCCAGTCTCTCCGCAAATGTGAAATGTGAATGTAAGTGATCATTAGGAACGGCAAAGGGCCGCGCTCCAGCCAGGTACGGAGTCTTAATGACAGGTAAACTCAGGTGAAGTTTCTGTTACTGGCAGTGATTGCTGCTCCTCCACAGGGGATGAAATTCCACCCCCGTCCTGAACAAAGAGCCTGACAGAGTGTCAGTCAGGCTTAGTGACGGGCCTCCCATCCAATATTCACCAGCTCCTCAAGTTGTAAATCTACACAGCACAACCTCAGCGCGGTGCCGTCCTGTCACACGGACACATCTCAATGTCTGACCAACGTGTCACAGGTCTGGTTTACAGTAACAAAGCCCTGGCACAGGCCCGAAGGTGGCCGCACTGAATGGATAATGAGGCCAAAAGAGATTCTCCATGGAAAGAATGATGAGTTAGGAGTGTCGTGGCATTCAGGTTTTCAAACAGGTAGGAATGTGGTGTCATGATATATTGTCTTCTAAGGAAACATACTTTAAACCTCCGATACAATGCATGTGTGAGTTGCACTGGGTGAACCTAAAATGCATTGGCAAGCAACAAAAAAAATGACAAGAATAAATTCATAATGCCACGGCAGAATAGACAAAAAAGTAGTATTAAAACATAATTCTTATTAATAATTAAGGATATGTATATTCACAGATTTGCAGAAAAGTATTCACTTTCTTCGACTTTCCACTCACTGAACTGCTGAAAGCGTTGCTAGTAATTTAAGCTCGTCAATTCAACCCAAATATACCCTAAAAACATTGCAAAACTTTTGCGAAATTTGAACCAAAGATACACAAAAACAATTGGTAAAAGTACAAAGTCTGGCCCCTGGGTAGAACGTCTTTATACTCCATCAACTAAAGGTAAAAGACAATGCAGCATCCTACACAGGTTCCAGTCCATGCGTAAAGACTTTTTTTTCCTTCTTTTGACTGTATTTATTCACCTGCTTGCCGAGGTGTGAAAGGCCCTGCAGCTCCAATGTTGTTCCTCACATTCCCATACAGTGAAAAGAACTATTTCGGAGCATGAAATGCTAAACCGCTGTAAAAGCAGCCACGGCTGCGGCTTCAACAATGACCTCATCACGTCCTGTGGGACCCTCTTCGGCGTGCTGTGCTGTGGGACAATACTGAACCAACAGCAAAACACAGATCCCCAGCCCCATGTACACTGCTGCACATGTAACAGAACACTGACATTACCTCAGAGACTGAGGCGCGATGACAATCGGCGTGGACATAAAGGGCCGGCCTGAGGCTGCAGATAGAACAGGGACGCTCTTGAGGTTACACACAAATCACCGCGCTCCACACACACTTTTCACTGGCTCAGCAGATATTCACACTGTTTGTGTCGCCACCAAAGAAAACTCCCACGACTCGGGTTCTAACATGTTTCTTCTCCTAACGTTTCTGGGAGGGATGTCCGATTATATCGGCCGACAGATATAACCGGCCCGATATTAGCGTAGTTATTTAATCTCGGTAAGAATCGTTATCGGTTTTTCCTGCGATAACGCAATTCTTGGGTTTCGTCAAATGACGTGTGCCCTAAAATTAGTTTTGGGGATGAACGGCTGTATATGAAAGTGAAAGTCACTAGAGGGCAGCATTGCAGCTCATTTAATTAATCTATTTTAATATTCAGAGGATTGTATGCAGAATGCTGGTGCCAGCAACTCATACAGTGGTTTGTACAGATAAATGAATAAATATTACCAGGTTTATACCGGTATCCACGATATCTGAATCAGAAATTAAGTGTTTTTTATACCGGTATCCGCGATATTTGAATCAGAAATTAAGTGTTTGGACAAAACCAAAATATTGGATATCGGCAAATAGTGAATATCGGAGATCCTTAGCTTTCGTCGGAGTTTTCTGATCCACTCACCCTATCTGTCTGTTGGTGGATGGAGCCTGAGTGATGACGGAGCTGGACTGAGGGGAAGGCAGGGCCTGCTGGATGACTATGCTGGTATCATGGTTGCCCATCCGTGAGTGGGACTGCTGGTGCTGACCTTGGCCTCCCTGGCTGTGCAGCTGGATGTTCTTCAGAGGAGAATGGAAGGAAGAGAAACACAGAAAGCATTATGTTTTTGCACAGGCTTCAAATGGAGTCATTTTTATTTTTAGTTTTGTTTTCACCACCACAGAAACATTGACAGTTTTTGGCCGTTGGTTTTATGCAGCCATTTTAACTGGTTCAAAACATTTCATCTGCAAGTTTTTCCTGAACTACTCTGAGGAGAGAAGAGTGGTAATAAAAATGTCACTCACATATTATTGTTGCTCATCACTATAGTTTGGTACACTGGTGTTATAAAATGTAATGTTGAACTTTATTGATCCCACACTGAGGAAATGCTTGGGTTTTAAACTACTGTACGGATACCACTTCAAGAAACGACAGCAGACTTCCCAGAAATGTTATTAAAATGTATTTTTGTTATTGGCTAATTCACTGGAACATGTATTGAAATGGCAAAAGGAAAAGTTTTAGTGTCAGACTTAATTATTTGTCTTAAGAGGAAAAGTTTCAGTGTCAGACTTAATTATTTGTCTTAAGCACAAACAAATGTCGCCTTGAAAACGCTCTAATCCAATCCATGTTCTTTGACAAACACATGGTTGTGCATGATATTAGAGATACTACGAAACACTTCCTGGTACTAAATACTAAAAGACACAAAAGACACAAACGAATACAGAATGAAAAAAAAAAAGGGGATTCTTAGAATTTACTTTTGTCGCCCTCTACAGTTAGACAACCTGTAAAATGAAGGCAGGAGTCGCAAAAAGTTTTTTGTCTAAAATACATCAGGATACGTTAAGTTGCGATGTGGTACAATACTGTACTAACTATACGACGCGATACCATACAATACAATTAGCGTAGTCTGATAATATCTGTAAGAATTGTTATCGGGTTTTCCACTGATAATGAAAATCTGATAACCGATGCCTGGGTTTCGTCAAATGACGTGTGCCCTAAAAATAGTTTTGGGGATGAACGGCTGTATATTACAGTGAAAGTCACTAGAGGGCAGCATTGCAGCTCATTTACTTAATCTGTTTTAATAATCAAGTGATTGTGTGCAGAAAGCTGGTGTCAGCAACTCATACAGTGGTTTGTACAAGCCTACATCGGATATCGTCAAGAAGTTAATATCGGACATTACTAAATACAATACGATTCCATATGGTACGACACAATACGATACAATTTATGCATTCGCACTCCATACACTGTAAGTACAACTACACTCAATTTAGAGATAAATAAAGTAATACCACAAAAGACCGAGACCCAGACACATAAATCATAACTCGCTTCTATTTCTCAACTTATTTTACATATATTTAGTTCAGTTTGTCGTTCCCTCACATTTCAACACTTCCTCCTCTTATCTCTACCTATTGTGCTTTGCACGTCTTGCTCGGACTCGCCTCCTGCTGACTTAGCAGAGCCTCCCATCATAAACCACACAGGCTCCAGAGGCTAGACATGGCATGACCTGAGCAGAGCTGAGTGGAGCGCAGCTTCACAGCCAAGCCTCCCAAACGACAGCTTAACCGCCGCGAACGCTGCACATCTCCCCAGACGTTGGATAAGCAAGTCTGTCTTGTGGTGTTTTGACGAGCACCTAGGTCTCAGGTGTAGCTGCCGCGGGGCATTTCCATTGGACATAAATGGCCAGGTCTTTTGTCCAATGTCAAAGCTCTGCTAATCTGCTCAGGTGCAAGAATGTCTGGTCAAGTCTTTTATTACCGCTACACAAGTCACCACAGTAGTCTGTCTTTAAGTCTAGAGGGAACAAGACTCCCTGAGAGAAGACAGGAGACGTGTTTGAAACTAAAGATGGAGGAATTGATCTTTTTTTCTCTCCTCGCTGTATCTGCGGCCCCACACAGTCAGTCCTTATCGACGCGGAGCAGATAAGAATCAGATGGGCAGCGTGTGGTTAAATGACGCGTAGGTGGTTTGGACTATTTCAAGTACGTGCGTTAGCCAAAGTTTCATGGCCTGTTATTGTCAGATGATGGTGGTGGATAACAGTTCACAGGTGCATGACCTAACCTCTGTGGGTGTCTGCGGCTCTGGCTTCAACATCACATGAGTTTGTTTGTTTTTTTAGATAGATTGTAGTGTGTAACTCTGCAGTACCCGTTTACTGTCTTCTTCTTCCTGGGCCTTGCAGAACTCCTGTTCGATGGAGCAGTCCAGGTCACTGAACAAACCCACCTCCTCACAATTCTTCAAGAAACGTGTCGGTGTGGGCGTTTGGTCTGGAAAACAAGGAGAGACGTGCGGTTTAATGTTTGTTTTGGTGATAGTAGAGCTTGTCATTTTGCACTTTCAAAAACACACATTCACGCGTATCGTTGAGCCTGAACGTCACGACAACATCAAAAAACGTGTTTGTTAACAGCACACACTGTACCGTAGAGTTTTAATGAATTCCAATCTTTTCAGGTCGGTGCTGAGTGACAGACACATTTGCATGTAACAATGTAACAGATCTGCCAGGTCACATGACTTGACTAAAGTCCATGTACTATGTTTTACTTTGATGTGTGCCACCCAGAAAGACAAAATGTCAGGTGAGAAAATAACTTTGGGAATTCACTGGAAATTCTTATTCAACAGACAGAAAATAATTTTCAAGTGTTGTTTTATTCTGTTAGTAGGTGGAATTTCTGGATGTTAAAACTTGGCTGATCGTGAGTCGTGATGTGCCAAACTGCAGGTAGAACAGCTGAGCAGACGCACTCTACACGTTTAAGCCGCTCTGAAATGCTAATATCGGTTTACTCATCAATCAAAGATTTACTCTGGGTGACAGTGGATCAGGACATAAATCAACCTCCACTCAGAGAATCCCAGACTGCGTACTGTGAAGTGTTGTGAGTAAACGCCAAGAGCAGATAAACGCTTTGTACAAACAATATGACAAATGTAACGACACGCGGTGGAGGATTTGAAAGTTAAAACTTTGACATCCCTGAACACAGAGGACTTTAATGGTCCTTTAGTCCAGTGATCCACAACAACTTCATCATGACACATTAGTGCGCTGTCAGAGGTACACAGGTGCACCATGGTAAATGATCCCATTTATTTATCCCAAATATACCCATTCCACTTAATTGGTCTAAAAATATGTTTTATTTCCTGCAAATAATTAGAGCCATTTCAATACTGCTCCAATTTTCCATAACCTCTCAATGTGAGTTTGGCTTTTCAAACATTTTATAAATGCCAAAAAAAATTACTAAAAATAGAGAGAGACTCAGAGTTGAAGATCTCTGTGTCTTTCTTCAATTCCACTCTGAAAAATAAATACTAAATACTAATAAAAAGAAATACTCTGTGTGTAGATTATGTGTAAATTGAAACTAGAAGATCATTATATTTCATATAGGTTTCATACTCTGTGTGTAGATTATGAGTAAACTGAAACTAGAAGATCATTATATTTCTTGAAATATACATTTTAGACGGTTTTTGTTTGGGGCTGTGCCTTGACTCAAACAAGTTTGGGAAACACTGCTTTATTCCATCTCACAGGAGGCTGATCTTAAAGAACTTCTCTAAGATCAGAGAACGAGTCTCAGGAAGTGTTTACGAACGCAGTAATAGACAGTACTACATGACAACGACTTTCTAGTGGGCCATACCTGCTCCATGGTTTCCTGTCCCAGATGTAAACCTTGTTTACTGCGTTTCTGCCAAACATATGAAACCTCCAGCACATTCAGCAGCTGTTCCTGCTCTCAGCCATCAGTCTTTACCCGTGTTACGATCCTGCAGAGGTCGTCACCCTCTGATGAATGTACACCTTTTACCCACCATCCAAACCTGTTCCCAGTTAACCTCCTAATTGCGGAGCCTGCCCCACCGTTATTCGTCTGACCTTTCCAATCTTACTCTTTCTTTCACTAATATTAACTAATGGAATCAAATAAACACCAAAGTTAAAAAGTAAATATACTTAAAGAATTTACCAAGTGGATTAAACCCAGTCAACTCAGAGTCCAACGTGAGATGAAGGATACTGCTCTAAAAACATCTTCCGCGGCAGAGATAATAAAGTTGACAGCCTCATTTCAGCTGATGAAGTACAGAGCCTAACTGCTGAGTGGAGGGGGGGTTGGGGTGAGGGGGGGGGGCTCATTTGTTGAACTTGGTATTCCGCTTGACATTGTGGGGGTGCTCACAGATCGGGTTTCAGACAGTTGAAGGTGATTGTGGGATCAGGCTTGTTTTAAAGGCTAAAAGCATACTTCATGGTCTGTTTATCCATCCTGACTAGACTGAGGATTGACTTCAACTTTTGACATGACCTGTGTACCCAAAATACATTTGACTGCAAGCATACTTCATTTACAAATAAAGAGGTTTTAACTTTGAGTAACCAAGGTTTGAAAGTAAAAAAAAAGCTACATGTTCAACTCTGCCTAAGTTCAAGGTCACAGAAAGAGAAATAGTCCGACCTGTGACTCAGACAAGAGGACACCTGGCCTAGAAAATCTGATCCTCCCGTCCACTCAGTGTAAATAATAAAGAAGACGCAATCTCAACGGCGTGGCCGGAGCTGCACACAGTGCCGTCTAGTGTGGCATGGACGGCTCTGGGAACGGAGACCTGGATGTGTAGATAAGCTACATGTGTGTAGTACGTGGAAAATACTGCAGTCTGGACGGAACAGATGGGAAGGTTCGACGTCAGCACGTCAACATCTCCCTCTGGTACCAATAAAATACTCTGACTCTGATTTTAAAATAGTTACAAGATGTCACCGTACAGAGAGATGAGGACTAATGCTGCCTCTGATGAAAAGAAATTGCACAAAGCAACAGGGAAACGAAATTGTACTTGACGTACTTCTGTTCTACATCAGCGTCTGCTCTCGTTGGACTCCGCCGTATGAATCAAATGAAGCTGAGCTCCGAGGAAGCACGTGTCGTGTAATTTACATCACTGTAAACAACCAGCGCGGACACACCATAAAGTTTCTTGATGACAGATGAGTGAGCCTGCGGGTGAGTCACGGAGGAACACACCTGCAGGAGAAGCACGGGTTCTCTGCGGACCCTGACGCTGCAGCTCACCTGATAACATGTTGTCGTTCTTTATGGAGGGAAACTTGAGGGTCATTTCATGTTTGTGTCGGTGTATCATCAGGTGGTCCTCCGTCGGGAAGCGCTGTAAGATGTTTGAAAAAGCAGAGGTGCAGATCAGGAAAGTTGTTTTAGAATTAATCTATTAAGTGATTGCATTGCAATACCTCACCACCCCACTGTTTACTGATTGCATTGCAATACCTCACCACCCCACAAGGGGGCGAGGCTAGGTTCTTTTAATCATTTTGGGTTTCTGTTTTTGTTTTTTTTTTAATGGTCTTATTGGTTCCCAACCTGAGGGCGGGCTACTTCCGCCAGGTTTGCACAGAATGTGCAACAAATGACGATATTTTTGAACACAGTATTGCATGAAGTTATGACGTGGTAATTACTCTTTTGATAAACTAAAAACTCCAAAATGATGCAGAAAAGGTCAAGGTGTTTTTGACACGGCAGACACTTTTACTACACCTTTTCATATCCCACACACACACACACACACTGTGGGTTCGGCTGCTGGATTGTCTTGTCGCTGTTACCTGAGAACAGCCAGGAGCGTTGCACACAAACGGCCTTTCCTGGTCTGAGTTCATCACTCCGCTCGTCTTCTCATAGGACTGCAAAACACAGAGAAGGAAGAAAATAAAATAAGAAGTTTTGTGCGTGCCAGAATCTTCTCTAGCAAATAACTCACTGATCTGGTAACAATAACCGCTCTCATCTGCCTCACTCCTAATTTACCTGAATGTGAAGGTTAAATACGTCTTTCAAGTTTCAGCCAAGAACAAAAAGCTCAACATGTGACCAAGAAAAGAAGTGGAAAAAGTCCAGCCCTGCCCCAGGGTGAGGTGACAGTCAGTCACTGCTCCTGTCAAAAGTGTCTTTGGAATAATCCTGAGGAGGAGACAGAATGTGACCGACTGTCCTCCTGTGTAGGACTGGAACGTAAAACTGGACCAGATATGGAAAAAAACAAAAACAACAACAATGCAGTCCTGCTGCGTCTTCTAGTACTCATAATCAAAAGAAAGATAATGATCAAGACAAATAAAAAGATGTTGGACTGAAAGAGATGAACATATTTTTTTTTTAATAAAATAAAAGCACATTTCTGGCACTGTAAAAAAGACTTTAAAACATGTAGCTCTAAAACTTCAAAAAATAAACCTGATTCATCACTAACTCTGTGATTCAATAATTAACAAATGAGATGAAAACCCAGATCTTCGACACCAAACGACAGCAGATGGAACATGGAATAATGTGAAGCAACATTGACAGACGTCTGATTTGGCAGTTCCTCTCAGAAAACATCTTCATCTGTCGGCAGGTGGTATTGAACATGCATGGAGCGGCTCGGGGGGGGGGGGGGGCATGAAGAGCTCATGAGTTGATTAGAGCCATAACTGCTCAATCAGTGAGGGTCATGTGACATATGATCTATTTGGATATTTGATGGAAGATGATTTTTTTCATCTCAGTGTTAAAACTATTCTTTAATTAAATAATTAAAAAAATACTTTCTGTTTAGTTTATTTTTTATTTTTTTAATGTGAATCTTAATCATTATTTTTTTATTTTTATCCTGTTGATATAAGGATAAAAGTCAAAGTATGAGTTTCTTTGAACTCTTGTGTATTTTATATACTGTATATGTGACACACCAGTGTTTTAATGCTTCAAAAATGTTAAGAGGGGAATGGGCAAAAAACAGAGAATCATTTTCACCTGGAGTGTTGTTGGTTTCAGATGCAACATTTTTGAAGTATTAACACAGAAGTGTCAGAGTTACATTACTCTAAGGCAGAGGTTCTCCGTTGAATTTCCATCACGTCCTCCTTGGGGACAGAAATGGGCCCACCCACGGGGTCCGCCCCACTACTTGAGAAGTACTGCTCCAAGGAGACTTGAGCGTGGCCAGAACTTTTACTTTTGGGTGTGAATACAGATTTGAAATGTTTTCTCCTTCTTTGTCGTTTTAAACAGTGAATGCTGCGTTAATAAAATATACAAAAGGTTAAAAACACCACTGTGAGGGTGAGAACGTCTTTGACAAGATCAGATCTGATCGAATAAATCAGGGTCAGTCAATACGTTTGGGGAACTGGTCAATGTTGGAACAGCTGCACTCGTGAATGACATTTTTTACATGAACCGAAAGTAAAAACGAAGCTGTTCCTACAACAGAGGGTTTATGTGTTTGAATAAATAAAGGGTTTGACATGATCAGCAAATTCAGTGATGATTCATTCTTTAAAAAAAACAGATTTCAGTCAACGAATAATGACTCCGTTTACAGCAGACTTTCAGAATTTGTGTTTTTTGTTTGCCGTTTTATCTCCATTAGGGGTCGCCATAGCTGTAGCCACGGTCATTTTGGCACCGATTCTATTAAGGTTGACATGAAACCACCTTTTCATGTCTGATACTGACACTAGAACCTGGATTATCTGGAGATACAGATACTACTGCAGTACTTTCTTTTCTTTTCTCTCAAATAACAGATAAAAAAACCTAGTTGTTCAGTACGGCTGCTGCTTCGTACTATCAGAACTATATCTGAGTATTATTAGAACTAAATCAATCCCTTCTCAACAGGACCAGCACAGCCACAGGGTCTACCCCACCGGTGTGCACATTCAGCCCCCGAGCCTTATCTTTGACCTGCAGAACTCTTATTAACTGTACACAAACAAACAGACTCCATGAATCCTTCACCTGCGGCCGTCATCACTTCCTGAGACCTGCGACACGTCCGACCTCGAACCTGGGGCCACATGGCACGTGTTTGGAGCATGAATACCTTCATACACTGTGTACATGCGTCTGTTTCCTCAGCCACAGTCCAAACACTCCAATATTGTCTTATGCTAAGCAGCGCTGTTTTCCTAACAAGCTGTGCTTCATGACGAAGGCTGCAGAACAGGGTCTGGACAGGGTCTCTCTGTCAGACAGAAACGAGCCCTGCTCTCTCCTTCTGTCACCACGCTGACCCTCTGTCTTCTGCTGGGCCCCCTGACACTCACCTGGTCTCCAGTGACACAACAAACATGACCAGCACTGCTGGACTCAGAGGTTCAACCCAGAAGAGACCCCGGACGACGGCACATCCACATTCGTGAACTCAAATCTTTACATCTAATCTCAAAGGTTCCAGGCAGAATGAAACAATCGGGACGCTCTCTCTGATTGGTCCGAATGAAAACACTGATCCATCTTTGAGGAAAAATAATGCATGACTTTTTTTTTCAACATATGCAAAAAATTTAATTTTCACCTCCCTCACCCCGCGCTTCATTTCTAAAATGGGATTTAATCATTCCAG